TCCATCCGCTGTACCCATCACATGGCCCAATCAAAATGCCATCCTAACTGGAGACATTCCTCCAGACACTCCACTCCAGGTACAGGGCAACATGTCCTTGACTCTCTGTGAAAGTGTTGTTGAGTCTAATCTTCCACCTCTCTATGAATCCCCCCTCCCACATTCCAAGGCACTTAATGTGGCATCCTCGAAGCTTCCAAATAAAATATGGCCTCCAAGGCTCACACCAGATACCATAGTCTAGAAAATAAGTCAAGGTGCCATAATTCAACTTCCAGACAATTCTACCTGGATGACTGAGAATCTTCATCAACCCCTAGTGGATATGTTTATTCAGCATGATAAAACCCAGTAAAGAAACCTCATGATGGCTTAACCTTGTGGCTTGAGACAAAACATGGTGAATTGATTTTGGTTTAATCACTGGTTTTGGAGCCATTGTTATAGTTGATCACGTGCAAATGAAGTCTTTATGGACCATGTATTTTGTATTATTTGGTATATTGGTTCTGCTCCTGATACTGATTTACCAATGTTATAGGCCACTTTGTAAAGTCATCTTAATGACTCGTGAAATAAAGAACCCCGACAGTTTGAATGATGTGCCTTAGAAAATGTCACTTTCCCCCCCTGTCCTTAAAAGATCACATGGTCACTGCCTTTTTCCTATTAAACATTACCCAGTTTTAGCAATTGACTTTTCTCTTAATTTGGAGCCAATGAAATTATTTCATTGTGAGATTAGATTAACACATCCTCCTGTTCAGATTTATGCAGCTCTGATTTCATCTAAGAGGGCAGGTCAACCTATTTTCCAAAGCACCAGAGGGCAGGACAAGAAACCATGGATGGAATCTAATCAAGGAGAGAAGCAACCTGGAACTAAGGAGAGATTTCCTGACAAGTTAGAACCATCAACCAGTGGAACGGCTTGCCTTCAGAAATTGTGGGTGCTTCCATCACTGGAGGCTTTTAAGAAGAGACCTCCAGGTCTCTCTGTTATTCTATGAGTTCCAAGAAGCTGAGGACTTCCTACACTCTCCTTTTTTAAAAAAAGGGTGTAACCAAGACAAAGAAAATAGGCCAGGCCAAGATATAACCCACAACTGATTTAAATCAAATTAAATATAGTTCATTGGATCATTTCCTATAATTGAATCACCCCTGTCACTCAAGTATATTTTGAAGACGTTTAGGATTTGTATCTCAGCCACTTGTATGGAACGGTATAGGTTTTTCTGCTTGAGAAGGGGGTCAGACTAGAAGACCTCCAAGGTCCCTTCCAATTCTGCCATTTTGTTCTGTTCTGAAACAATTACAATGCTTTAGGAAAATGAACTTTTTCTTTTTAAAAGTTGATTTTCTCCATTTTCTCATGCCTCAATATTTATCTTTGTGTGAATCTCTTCAATTTATTGCAAGACACATTTTACTGCTTTAGAAATTCTTTCAAAAGGCAAGAGAATGTCCATAAAGCTTTCCTGAGCTGTATATGGAACGTCCGCTTTTTTCCTCCCCGAAAAATGGCCAGCTTTATCTCTGCCATGGTCCCATTTTTCATTCTACAGAACTTCCTGCATTTTTCTGCAATCTACTAGTCATTACGAGTAAAAGGCATCCAAAGGCTTTTTTTCAGTACTAGTAAGCAGAGCTTCACGTTGCTGAAGAGAAAATTCTGCCCTTGGGAAATGCTTGAAGAATTTTGGGTTTCATCAATAAATAAATCCACCCAGTGTTCACCAGTTTCATGGAAAAAGCTGAAAGACCAGCTCTACTGATTGAACACAGCTAGTCCTGCATCCCACTCTGACTGATTGAATACACCTACACAACTCTCCACACACACCATTTAATAAATTAAAGCGGTGTTGGATTTTTCATTTTCTCTTTTGGGCTCAATTATGATTCTTGGGGAAGAAAACCAAAAGGGAATAAAACCATTCCAAAAAGTATTAGTACCACTTAATAAGACCACACCTGGAATGTTGCATCCAGTTTGGCTCAACATATTATATAAAAAAAGATGTTGAGACTCTAGAAAGAGTGCAGAGAAGAGCAATCATGATGATTAGAGGCTAAAACATATGAGGAATGGTTGAAGGAATTGGATATGTCAAGTTGAATGAAAAGAAGAACTTGAGTGACATGATAGCAGTCTTCTAATACTTGAGGAATTGTCACAAGACAGACGGGTCAACCTATTCTCCAAAGCACCTGAAGGCAGGGCAAGAAGCAATGGATGGAAACCAGTCAAGGACAGGAGCAACCTAGAACTAAGGAGAAACTTCCTAATGGTGAGAACAATTAACCAGTGGAACAACTTACTTTAAAAAGTTGTGGATGCTCCATCACTGGAGGCTAAGAAGAGACTGGACAGCTACTTGTCTAAAATGGTGTAGGATCACCTGCTTGTTCAGTGGGTTTGGACTAGATGACATCTAAGGTCCCGACTCTGTTATTCTGTTACTGTAAGGTAGTAAGGAAGGAGTGCAGACTCTCTCTCTCTTTCACATCCATGCACACAGACACACTCATAAAAATATAAACCATTCTTCTGAGGGGAAAGCAGTACTGAAAATAAATATGCATGTATGATCTGAAGCTACTCCCTGCTACTACAAATTGACAATCAGAAGTGCCCCTTGGAATACCAAGGGGTCACACAATCATTCCAAAAAGTACTCCAAAGAATGAACACGATCTTCTTTTTTTCAACATCATTCACGCAGGGGCAAGGATATGTGTGTGAAAGGTATACCACACCAACATTTGAACAACAACAAAAATAAGGCCATCTTCTCTTACCTTCTCCACTGCACATCTAAAAGAAATTCTGCTTTCTAGAAAAGAGAAGGGGAAAAAAATAAATAATGCATCTTTGATTTGGGACCAGAGAATTTATTGGGGAAAGGAGAGGACTACAGCAGGAATTCTTGGGAATTACCAGTTTTGTGAAAATTCATTTTGAAAAAAAAAGTACAATTGTTAATCTTTATTAACCTATTTCCTACCATTATCTGACTTACTAGGTGGCAACTGTCTTCTCAGAATTGCCAGTTATTCTAATGATCGCCTAGGCTAAGTATACTAGTTCAGTTTTACCTTTTCATTTTGCTTTTTTGAGACCTACCTGGAGAAATGGGGTACATTGTCTGTGACCAAGACAACAGAGGACAATACCCGAGCAATCAGAGTCACTAAATTAAATATTGTTTTTGGCAAAACTCCACAAAACAGAGTCTCATCTTCACCAACAGTGACAGAAAAACATAATAATTAATATGCTCTTTCCAAGATTGGTCCCTCCAGCTCCTGTTATGGCTTCTCAAAATTATTGAACCATTACTGAAAGAGCACCAAATATTCTACAGATTCATTGGGTAGCAGAGAAAACACAAATTGCAATGATTGAAGAGAGAGCACTGTGGCTTCAGAAGCCGTAAATAAGGAGTGTGCCAGCAAGATCTCCTGCAAATTGTCTGTTTGACTTGATCAACTTTGAATTGACTCAGTTCCAAATTCTCAGTCTGGATTGTCAAATCTATCTGACTCGAGCAAGTTCATTCAATTTGACAAAAGCCACCAAATGCTCAGGTGTATTTGGAGGCAAACCATTTGATCTGACAGTTCAAATCAGCGACCAATCTGGACAGTCAATTTGATTCACAAAATTAATAAATTGCCTTTTCTACGTGGGATCTGTAAATCTTCGCAAAAGACCCTCACAGATTATTCATCTACATCTACTGCAGTGTTTCTCAACATCAACAGCTTTCAGATGTGTGGACTTCAGCTGGCCTGGGAAGTTTGAAAAATGAAGTTCATACGTCTTGAAGTTGCCAAAAAAACATTGATTTCCTGCAAAATCTTCAGACAGTCAGCCATGAGTATGTTATCTACCAGTTTGTAAGAGACACATCTGCCTAACTTCAACATTACCATGCAGTCTTCCTTTACAAGGATCTACAATTTGCAGCTTTAGGGACAAAAATCTCCGATGAGAGAATAATACCCCACAGATCCTGTCTAGAGTCTCCTGAGAAACTGCAATCCCTAATGTGACAGAAGGGAAATATAGCTCTATTAATGTATTGAATCCTATTTAATTTTCATTTAAAATACATGTTAATCAAACCAAATGTAGCTTTTGCCTTGAGCTCATTCACTTTTTAGAGGACAACCTTTAAACCAGATGCAGCTTGCAATTTGCAAGTGATGCCAACTTTTTATTTATGCTGCAATGATGCTTATTAATTAATCTTACCTCTGCCACCCAGGTGCTGTTTTAATTATTTAATTAACTTGTTATTGTGTTATTTTGCTTTTAATTAAAGAGAAGAAATGGAGGAAAGCACAAAGAATGGAAAACTATATAAACATACATATTTAAATATATCAGAGAAGTAAGAGTGGTTAAACGAAATATTACTCTTGGCAAAATCTTAAAAAAAAGAGAGAGAGAGAGAATGATGTTTACTAACAGTGTCACAAGAAGTTAAAAAATATGGATGTTATGTTTTTTGGGGGTTCAATGTGGATGTTAAAATGTTTTCATGGGAAACTGTTTGGAAGAAAAGATAAAGTAAATAAATTAAAATATGTTACAGGTAAAATAGTATTGCTTAGCCTTTCATGTTATGATATTAGGGCTGTTACAGAATGTAAAAAAAAAAAAAAAGAATAAGATGGAATTAAAAATTCAACAACAAAAATTATGAATTGCATTATATAGAAGTCTCCAAAGGCTTTAATAAAACAATCCCAATTATAAAAATGGCCAAAACAGATATTTCACCTGGGACTTAAGGAAGGTAATATTGATACCAATTGCACCTCCCTTTAAAAATTCGCATAAATGTGCAAGTCTTTTAGTATTCCATTAGTTTCCCTTGGTAAACATTGCTTAAAATGAAGAAATGTTCCTTCCATACAAATTTAAATGATTCTCATGACATTTTTTTTTTCATCAATGCTCATGTGATTTTTCTGTTTCTTTGCAGCAATTTGGTAAAATCTTAGATGTTGAAATTATTTTTAATGAGCGAGGCTCAAAGGTAAGCAACTGAATACACTTGTGGAAATGTTTAATGGATTGAAAGTGTTTACTGAAAAATCAGAGGAAGCAAATACACAACAGTATTAAGACCTCCTTAAGTATCACCTTTAACAGAGACACCTATGATGCTCAGATGTTTGAGGGGATGAGGGATGTCATTTACCCAAACAGCATGAAATTTATTGGTCTAATTTTGAACCCCTTACAAGGGATAATTTTAACTAAGATAAGCTGCCACCAGTTAAATAGGAATATCGTTTCCTGCTTTTAAATATAATCAAATGTTGTCTGCTGAATTCCTTTCCCATCTCCAATAATTGCCATATTCATTGTGAGATTAGTTCAGTGGGGAGAAAGGGGTCATTAGAACAGATACGCTGCTCTTGAAATGGAAGCAAATAATATAATTTAATATCTTCTGAAGCAATTACTCGATCAAAGATGAATTATGAAATTGCCAGCGTTTGCATGTTTAGGGAAAATTGTTTCTGAATTTAAAGAGATGTGTTACTTGTCCTAATTTGAAAGGTGAAAGGTTTTCCTGACACTCACATCACATACTTAATTTCCATTTGAACCCACCTATAGAGTTGGCCCATTTTTCTACACTATATTATACTGTTATTATATTATTCTAGATCATATGGCTGGATTGATAAATTATCCATCCAGTGGCATGCAGACATAAGCTTTTCACTCACACCTCATAGGGATATTCATTGGGGTGTGAGTCAAAAGCTTCAAGATGCCAGTTGCGACTGCACAATCAAAATTCCACCCCTTTGTGATTTGCGTATAACTTCAACATATGTACAGAGATGGGGGAGGGGTAGCTTTGATCATACAATTGTGACCTCTGTCTTTTGATTCCCTCTGAAGCCCCTGCAGACTCATTGAACCTGTACTATATTTTAGATATCAACCCAAAAAAGTTGGTTGCCCAAATATAATTAATCAGTGAGGCTCACAGGGTTCTCCTTGCTGCCAATTTAATCATTACTCCTATAAGAGAGATGAGTTGTGTACTTACAAGTAGTCTTTGACATAACAACTCTAATGGAGCCTGCCGTTTATGATCATATATTGTAATGACCGTAAACCAGGTCACCCAGGTCAACCATATCATGTAATCGACCTGATTTTATAACTTCTTTTGTAACAGTTGTTAAGTGAAACATGAGAGTTGTGAAGTGATTACCATGGTCATTAAGTCAATACTGTAGTCATTAAAATAACTAGTGGTTTGCTATGGGCATGGTTTTGCCCCAAAATTGAAAGTAAGTGTTTTTTTTTTTGTGAAGAAGAAGAAACTATTGTGGGACCCTGCAAATGGCCATAAAGGCAACTGCAGCTGGATGAATACCACATCTAGTTTTGGTTGCCATGATGTAAAAAAGATGTTGAGGCTCTGGAAAGAGTGCAGAGAAGAGCAACAGAGATGATTAGGGGACTGGAGGCCAAAACATATAAAGAACAGTTGCTAAAATTGGGTAGGTCTAGTTTAATGAAAAGAAGGACTAGAGATGGCACGATAGCAATCTTCCAATATCTCAGGGGCTGCCACAAAGAAGACTGGCTTAAACTGTTTTCCAAAGCACCTGAAGGCAGGCCAAGAAGCAATGGGTGGAAACTAACCAAGGAGAGAAGCAACCTAGAACTAAGGAGGAATTTCCTGACAGTTAGAACAATGAATCAGTGGAACAACTTGCCTCCAGAAGTTGTGAATGCTCCAACACTGGAAGTTTTAAAGAAGAGATTGGATAACCATTTGTCTAAAATGGTGTAGGGTTTCCTGCCTAAGCAGGGGGCTGGACTAGAAGACCTCCCAGGTCCCTTCCAACTCTGTTATTCTATTCTAATCCATTCTGCATTGTTAAGCACCCGAAGTTTGGTTATATGACCACAGAAGGAGGCCCAACCATTGGAATTTTGAATCTAGGTCCTAAGTGCCTTTGGGGTTGGTCTTAACTTTGAATAGTCTCTGAATAACTGGTCATAAAGACTACCCTTAATTAGATTGCTTATGCCTGAAACACATCCGAACCTGCAGCAGCCCACCTCTGTCCATCATGCAATCTCAGGGTTCTGATAGAAGAGATCACAGAGTTGACCTGTGGGCTCCTTGGTGCCCTCTAAGCTTGGTAGCTTTCTGACAGATCAAACAAGGTGACACCATCACCCAGCACTGATGATGTTACCTAGTTTGGTAATGCAACATCTGCCAAAAACCCCACCAAACTTAGAGGGCACCCAGGACCCAACATCTCAAGGTTTTCAGCGCTCTATCCATACCCTTAGAAGTTTACATGTCAACATTATAGACACCTAATTCCTTTCAACTTCTCAACTCCTGTCTTCTTAGAGAATCCAGCCATGTAGCTCTATTTGGGGTCGGAAGTCTTAAAATGATACTGCCAATGTCTCCTGTGATTTCACAATGTCCTTGATGTACATGGTGTGAACATGTTCTGTTTCTCTTCCTTTGTTTTTGTTTTGATATCAAGGAAATGTCACGTTTTTCTGTCAAAATGGTAAATTTGGAAGTTGAAGCTGCCAGGTCCTATCTGTTCCAATGTGTAGAGCTGGTATGAATTGCTTAAAGTATTATGCTAAATACATTTTGGAAGGGTGAGTTATTGGATTAGTAATTTTTCATTAAAACATGAGTCCAGGCCTCCCAATTGGAGAATATTTTGTATATGGGCTTCCAGGTTGTGCAGTCACAGCTGAAGTATTCATTTCATTGCTGGCAGCAAATCTGGGAGGCTTTCTGAAGATGTGTCCCACAGCAAGGAACATACTAAATTATGGGATATTGCTAATGGATGAGAGCCAGCTGGGTGTAGAGTTTAAAACACCAGGTTAGAAGCTGGGAGGCTGTGAGTCACAAAACAAGCTGGGTGACCTTGGGCCAGTCATTCCCTCTCAGCCCTACAAAGGAGGCAAGGGCAAGCCACTTCTGAAATCTTGCTGAGAAACCTGCAGGGATTCATCCAGGCAGTTGATAGGACTCAAAACAAGACTCAAAGGTACCAAACAGGAAAAACAAAACAAAACAAGAAAGCCAAGATTGTCACTCAAAGATGCTTCTTCAAAAAGCAACTGGCCTGTTGATGTTGTTTGCCCTTGAGGAAGGAGAAGACATTTTGCTTCTCAACTAAGAAGGTTCATCAATTCTGGCAGGGTGTTGGGGGTGTTGGAAGGATCCTATTTTTTTTTCCCAGTCATCTGGTCATTAGCACTCTCCCTGAGAGCTCTTGAAGCCACTTGGTGGTTTGTCTGTGTCCTCAGGGTCACCTGAATCAGAGTGCAATTGGTTGAGGAGTCGTCTTGGCACTTGTGAAAGCCCTGTGTTTTAGACTGGAGACTGGGGGTATCTTACCCCTCCCCCTCAGCTGAGAGTGGGGCTGCTCATTGTTAACATAAATGTTCTCTTTTTACCCCTCTTTCAAACCAATGGCCTTCTCTATCCAGAATGTGGACTTTGCTGTCTTCAAAATCTTTCAGATGCAGACGGACTGCTGAATCCAATCCTGGTGGGCTTGTTCTCTTATGTTATGCCATGTGTTTGAGAAGGTTTTTTTAATTTGTTTTCTGGTTTGTTTGTTTCAATAATATATAGATCTGCACAAGGGTGGGGCCGCTGGGGGTTCCCAGGGGTTTGGGAAGGCCCCTAGCTAAGATTCTGTGCAGTTCCGGAGAACCCCCAAATCCCACTCCTGGCTAGCCCTGCCCATCCCACCCACCCCCTCCCAGGAGTCCCCACCAGTGGTGGGATTCCATTTTTTTTACTACCGGTTCTGTGGGTGTGGCTTGGTGGGCGTGGCAGGGGAAGGCTACTGTAAAATCTCCAGTCAGAGGTGGTATTTGCCAGTTCTACAAACTACTCAAAATTTCTGCTACCGGTTCTCCAGAACTGGTCAGAACCTGCTGAAGACCACCTCTGGTCCCCACACAGCCCGTTTTGGATGCAGTTAAGTGCAGGGCATGAGTGGAAGCTCAGGAAGGGTAACAAACGGACCTCCCAGAAGTTCGGGAAGGTTGGACATGGGCCCATTTCTGGCTTCCAGAGAGCCTCTGGAGCCCGGGGAGGGCAAAAACTCCCCCCTGCCAAGGTTCAGGATGGTCCACCATGGCCACGCCCACCCAGCAACCAGGCAGAGAACCCGTTGCTAAAATTTTTGAAGTGCACCCCTGGATGGGCACAAGTTTCACTGAATTGCATTGATCACAATGCTCGGCTAAACACTCCTGTTGCCTTTTTGAAAAATCATCTTTGAGACAACTCTGACCTGGATGACCGAGAATTTCCACAGAAAAAGTCAAGGTCTCTTTCTCTGAAGTAAAACACCACTGAACTTAAGCTTGGGAGCAAATCAGATATGACAATTAGGAATTAAGGCAAAACTGCCAGAGATCAAATAAAGATTAAATTCCTACTCTGTTCCTCCCCACTCCCCACGCACAATCTTTGTTCTCTGTAAAATCAGGTGGGAAACATTCCGGGGAGTTTAAAAAAAAATTAAAATAATACTTTCAGAAGAGAATAATTAGAGCTTTGCAAATCTCCTTGCTACTCATCTTTTTAATATCCCCCAAAGCCTTAAAATGTAGTCAAATTTATTCAAGGGTCCCTGGAGAACATCGGTTCATTCCAAGGGAGTGTCATGGGGAAAGATCATGTTCTCACAGGCACACGTCTAGTCAGTGTGGCTGGGGAGAATGGAAGAACTCAGCAGACGATCAAGAAGGGAAAATCCTATCTCACCATCCCATAGAATTTGCCAGAAATGGTGTAGGGCAGAGGTGTCAAACTCGATTTCATTGAGGGATGGATCAAGGTTGTGTTTGACCTTGGGTGGGCGGGGTGGGTGTGGCCAGGGTGGGCATGGCTAGCTTGACATCATTTGTGTTGGGGGTGCCTGTGGTGGCCCGAGCACTCTGCCAGCAAAAACAGGTCCTGTGGGGCACTCCTGAGCTCCGTTTTCACTAGTAGAGGGTTGCAAGAGGCCGTCACAGCCAAAACAAAGCTCAGGAGCCTGTTTTTGCTGGCAGAGACACCACGAGATGGTCCTTCGCTGTTTCCAGGGTGGCCCTGTGGGCTAGATCTAAGCACCCTGTGGGCTGGATCTGGGCCTTGGGCCTTGAGTTTGACATCCCTGGTGTAGGGTCTTTTGCTTGGGTGGGGAATTTGACTAGATGATCTACAAGGTCCCTTCCAACTCTGTTAATCTAATCTAATCCCATCCTTCATAGATTGACAGAGTTGCACTGAACACTTGAATTGTCCCCCATTAGATCCTTGTGTCCCATCTGAATCTTCAGGATGGTTTTTCTTTTACCATCAACTCCCAAAACTAATAGGACAAAAAGCAGATGTATGCAATTCATCCTGCCGGTGCACAGTAGTATAGTCAAATCACTTCTGAATACCTTATCTGTGTCCAAAAGTGGAAAATGCCCCAACCAAAAGGGCCTTCTTATCAAAGTGAGCTGGTTCTCTTCTAGAATAAAAATCCCACTAAAAAAGATATGCCCAGACTGATTTATAAATTTTGAGTCCTTCTCCATCATTTTAGTGATTTAATGATCAACAGAAACCATCACAAAAACATGGCAATAATGTATTGACATATAACTTGCATAGGAAAACCTCTCAGTGGTTCATATTCTTTGAGAAACTCTGTTTCTCATCATAGATCGCATTCTTCATGATAGCATGTAGGCAAAGTCTGTTTATTTGTTTTGTTTTGCTTCGCTTTGCTTCCATGCTATTATGAGACTTTTATCCCTCTTTTGTCCTCTCATCATAAGTACAACTGCCACCCGCCCCCCTCGTCTTCTCTTCTGGAAATTTTCATTTCATCCCATCTTAAACAAGAACAGCTTCTCAAGCATTATCAGAGCTTAGAGTCTCACTTTTAGCCTTCCTCAGGGTTTTGACATAGTTTATTCCATCCAAGCTAATAAGCTTGGAGAGAAAGAGATGAAACTGTTTAAATCCCATCTTGAAGAGCCGAGGTGGCACAGTGGTTAGAATGCAGTACTGCAGACTACTTCTGCTGACTGCCGGCTGCCAGCAGCAATCCTGACAGACTTAAGGTTGACTCAGGTTTCCTTCAGTCTGAGATTGGTAAGCGTGGGTGGGTGAATAGATGATGATAGATAGATAGATAGATAGATAGATAGATAGATAGATAGATAGATAGATAGATAGATGATAGATAGATAGATTAGATGATAGATAGATAGATAGATAGATAGATAGATAGATAGATAGATAGATGATAGATAGATAGATTGATAGATGATTGATAGATGATAGATGATAGATGATAGATGATAGATGATAGATAGATAGATAATATTCTGCTCTAGCAAATGAATTTGTTTGTGTATGTGTCTCTGTATTTCTATATATAAAGTATATCTATTTGCTAGAGCAGCAATTTGTGTTGGAAAGCATTCTCGGTGGATTGAATGAAAATATTTCCACTTGGAGAAGGATCTTCCTTTGAATGTATCCTTCTCCTGAAATAATCTCAAGGAGACACCCTTGTTCTAGTGATAGTCACCTATTTGGGTAGAATCAAGAAATGAGCGTTCACTTCAGTGGAAAGACAGCCACAGTTCTGCTGCCTCCTTTGAAATAAATAAGGGATCTAATAGGTGTTGTTACCAAGACAAAAATCTTACAATTGCTGCTCCTTTGAGAAATGCCTACAGCATGGTAGATCAATGTTTGTCACCATGTATGATTACTTGTGTTGGATTTGGGTGGTAAGAATTTGGTGGGAATACATTGGCCAATACATTTAGAGATGGCCTTTTATGGGCAACCTGCAAATGTTTTCTGTTCACCCCAAGCATAATACTGTAAGCAAATTCTAGTTATGATTAATTAATTGTTCTGATATGCAGTGAATTGATGAAGGTAACCTTGGACTTCTTTACATCTTATAAACCAAGTTACGAACCAAGTACGAAATGCTAACATCTCCTCCTTAGTGGAGAACTGACATAAGCTACGAGTTAACCACAGAAATACAGTCAATTCAGCAAGAGCCTTTACTCCATTTCTCTATATTCATCTATTTGGGCAGGAAAAACAAAATCAATTCTACATTTTTTTAAAAAAAATCAGTTCTCATTTGGAATGATGAAACCTTTCCAAGAAATTGTTATTGGCTGAATGGGATGTTTTTATGTTTATTTAGCAACCAAGAAGATGTGTGCATATGTTGTGGCCCATCAGAGGCAGAGGCAGATAGGGGGCCTTCCATCCTCCCCCAGATGGAGAGGCAGCTGTCTTTGGGGCTTGAGCTGAATGAAGGGGAGGAACAGAAGGGGCCCATCCCAGATGCACTTATGCGTAGAGAGGAAAGGAGAGCAAAGGAAAGCTATAAGCCGGCTCTCAGGGAGAGGCAGACACAAATGATAGCCAGCCCCTCCCTGGCTGGGAAATAAACTGTTCGTTTCTAGTGTACAGCAAGAAATTCGGATTCCTTGGCCAAACCCAGGTTTATTGGGACTAATTACATTTGATTTTTTTTGTTTATCCACGTGAATAAAAGACTGTTACTGCCCTGTTATAAAAGGGGGTTTGTTTTACTCACAAGTAAACAGTTTATTATTACTTGCAAAGGCTGGGACAGAACAGAGTGTCTCATCTTGTACTGTGTAACCAAGTCTTCAAGGATCAGAAAATCAGCTGCTGAAAATAAAATCCTACTTCGAGAAGTTTATGGAGGGAATTTTTCTTTGCAATGGTAGAAAATATGTGTAGCTCAGGAAGGCAGTGTAGAATTTTTCTGAACTTTGTTTATTTTCTGAGGATTCCTCATTCACACAGGTAATACACTCAGCAGGGCTTTGATCTTGGACAATTAGAGATTTTCTTAACCCTGTAGCAATGAGGAGATATTATTTATCCAATTTCTCTACCCACAAACTGGGCAGAGTCAACTTTGGTGTCTCCCCCGCCTCTTTTTTTTAAAAAAAATCTAAAAACTTAAATGGGAAGCTAGCCCATTGCAAATTATCAGTTTCGGGGGGCGGGGGGGGGGTTGGATCAAAATAATATATTCCAGAGAGATCTCATTACATTCTTCGAAAAATTGTTGTAAATTGGTGAATGGTTGGTGGCTTCCATGCAGTGATCTTTTTTGGGAGGTTTCCACCTATACGGAACAGCTGCAGCAAAAACAAAAACAGAAAGAAAACCATGTAATTATAAATATACAACCTTTTTTAGGTTATCAGGGGAGAGGGACAATAAAACCTCACCGATTTGCTTTTGAGACTTTGGTCTATTGTAATAACCATCTGTAAACGTTCAAGCATCTCATGGTAGCCATTTAGTCAGAACGTTTTCAAAATTCCGAATTTGTTCTTTGGCTGGATAAAATAATACCCAGTGTTCTTCCTGATTGACAGTGAGCTTTCTCGCTCTCTCTCTCTCTCTCTCTCTCTTTTTTTTTTTTCAGGAGATGGGCAAACAAAATTGGTTCCAACAATTCACTGCATATAGAACACGAAATGTGTTTCAATCAACCTTGTGACAAATGTCTAGTATTATTGAATGAAAAGCAGTGCAGATATTGTTCAGGAATGGTTATTTGCTTTCTGATCTGTATTATCTACTTATTCATACTACATAATTATATTAAATGTAGAAAGGTTATGTTTAGTTTCAAACCCAGTTCTGTTTTGTTGGCAGTTCTTTTTTGTTTGTTTGTTTTTCTTCCTTGTTTCCCCTCCTCTCATTTTATTTTCTTTAAGAACAAAAGAAGTAAATACAGTAGATGACATCCCAATTATAAACAACTCCAGTGTTGCATGTGAGAAATTATTATTCTATTATTATTATTTTGCTCCACAATGACACATCGAACTAGCCAATATATTCAATTGGGTTTGCATTGAGTGTTGAAATCGGTACCCACATTTTAATTTGCACAAAGTTTATTATTCTGTTGATCAGATCTGCATGCCCTTAAAAAGTGATTCACCTTTTTTTTTTCCTCTCATCATTTTCTTCTTAGTTTTGTTTTCAATGTGATGACATGGTTCCATTGATTTGAACTTGTTTTGTTTTTCTTTTTTTATTAGATTTCTTTTCCCCTGTAGTGAAAATTTAGAGAAAAAAAAAGAAAGGTATTTGGTGTTCATTCTTTGATATTCTTCAGGAGACGATAAACTAACTCGTGAAAAGAAAGATAAAAAGTTGTTGACATTGGTTGCTTTACTTAATTGCACATCTTGGGTATGATTATAATTTCTTTCTAATTTGCATGTTTACAGAAATGAAGACAGAACAAGAGCCAATTTAAATTAAAGAGGGAGTAAGAGAGGAGAGAAAGAAAGGGAGGCAGAGAGAAAGAAAGAAAGAAAGAAAAAAGAAAGAAAGAAAGAAAAAAAAGAAAGAAACATGAGCAAAGAAGTGGTTGTCTGAAATAATGATATGCATGTTATTTTCCCTTTTCCCACCTGCATGCAGGGATTTGGTTTCGTTACTTTCGAAAATAGTGCTGATGCGGAAAGGGCGAGGGAGAAATTACACGGCACCGTGGTAGAGGGCCGTAAAATCGAGGTGCATGTTCAAAATATTTTCCTTTTCATCTTTTTTATAAATGTTTGCCTCACTCTCATTCGTTGTTTCAGATGCATCATTAATGTCTCTTCTGTGTTTCCCTTTTCCTTCCCATTGAGATATATATATATAATATATATATATATATATATATATATATATATATATACACATACATACACATACATACATATATACATACATATACATACACACACATACACACACACACACATACACACACACATATATATATATATATGCTATATATAGGTACGATTATGATATATTATATAATACAATATTGTATAATGTACAATTTTATATATATATATATATATGTATGTATGTATGTATGTATATATGTATGTATATATGTATATATATATATATACACACTTGGCCTATCTTGGTTTGGTTATTTTATGATTTCCTTTCTGTATGGTTTTTTTTACATTTTTTTCCAGTTTTTTTTTTAAACCATTGTAATTACAGCTAAAAAAAATTGTATGCCAGGCGTGTGACGAGCTTTAATGCCGTGCTATGATCTGAACGGTTTTGTAAGTTGATGGGTGCAATAGATTTAAGAGAAAAAAAAAATTGGAAAAACTTTCAAAATTAAATGTTGAAGCAAAACAATAAGGCATTATTTTATTTGTGTGCGTGTGTGTAACTTTTCTTTTTTTCTTTTTTTGGGAACCTTTATTTGGGAATTCTATTTCTTTTGTTTTTTCCTCCTTTTCTTTTCATTGCAGGTTTGATGCAGGATTTACAGTGGCTTTCCAAATTATCTTTTGGCTACCCCAGAAAAATTCCCATTTGAATAAGCTGTTCATTTAGATTCAACCAACCAACCAACCAACCAACCATGGACCTTTGTTTCCATTTTGAACAAATGCCCAGCCAAGTTCTCTGAAGGTTTAAAGTTCCTTCTAATTTTCACTCCCAAAAGTGATCATCTTGTTGCGTAGAAAGAGATAAATATATAGATAGATAGATATATCTATATCTATCTATATATATATTTTTAAACCACTGGATCCACCTCAACACTGCCTGAGTTGTATTTGTTAGAATCTTAAAGAGAAAGAAAGAAAGAAAAAAAAAGAAAAACCAATTGAAAATTGCTGTCGTTTTTGAGTAAGATGTTGCATATTTTGCCTTTCCATTCTCCCTTTTCGGCGGTAGCTCTTAGGGCCCTCACCATCTCAGTAACCATGGTAACTGTATACATGGGCCATGCTTGGCGATGGTGCTGACTGGTAAGTGGAGAAGTCCATCTACCGTTTCACGTATCTTTTCTAAAGCGCTGATATCTACCACATGAATTTTTTTGACTTGTTGTCTTAAGTTTTCTTGATGCTCTATTTTTTTTATTCTTCTTATTCTATATCTCTATATTTCGGTACGCCTGTCAATTTGAGTGTCCGTTTTAAACAAGCCTTGGAGACACTGATTGAACTTAAGGATATGAATTTTGTGCACATCTTACTCAGATCGTTAATTCCATATTGTGTTAAATAATGCACCCTCTTTTTTATCCTTTCGTTAGCTGTGATTTTTTGAAAGCTTGAATGGTTTTGTTAGTTTCCTTGCAATGAATAAACGAGGCTCATGTTCCCCAGTGTTGAATGCTACATGTTGCTTTTCCAATGGTACATTTTGAAAGGGTTATGTTGCACCCTGCTAAGATTTGTCCTTTTTTTATGTTACTTATTTTCCCCCCTGCATACTTGTCTCTTTCCCCTTTCTACTCCACTGCATGCTCTTTCATACATTTTTTTTTAATGTTCTGTTTTTAAATATTTTATCGTTTCAGTGTTACCATGGAATAAAAAAGCATGCTCTTAAATCTTCAATTATGCAAAGCCTTTTAATTTGCTTTTAATGTCTCTTTATTAAACTTTAAAGGAAATGGTGTTACTTTATTGAAATGATTTGTAAGTTTTATAAAACGATGATGAGAGTAAATGTAATTATAAATAGTATGATTTTGTTATGCGCCTCCTGCCTTTTATTAGTTTTATTATTATTATTTTCTCTTTTTTTTTAATTTGGGGGAAATAAATTAAATTGCATTTTTAAACACGACTAATGCCAAAAATAAAGCATGCATTCATTACTATCATGGAACTTTTTAATCTTGAAGAAGTGGTACTGATTTCTTGTTTTCTATGTGCTTAGGTAAATAACGCAACAGCACGGGTTATGACGAATAAGAAGACAGTTAACCCTTACACAAACGGTAAGAACTAAAAATATCAGTTGGGTTCTTTCTCAGCTTCCATCCCCTGATCTGCCTAAGGTACATTACCTAATCCAGGTCAGCTAAATGCAAGAAATCCTCGAATTACAACACTTCATTTAGTGACCATTGAAAGTTATTCCACCACTGAAAAAAAGTGCCTTGTGACCCTTTTTCACACATCTGATATTTGTAGCATCCCCATGATCAAATTCAGATGCTTGGTTTCTTTTCTTTCTTTTTTTAAAAAAAATTATATATATATATATATATATATATATAAACAAAAACAACAAATAAAACCATCTTTCAGTTATACAGTGTGTCGACTGTGTACATATATCTTGTGCACATAATAATATTTGTATCCATTTCTTACTGAGTTTACATTCATATTATAACCTATTCGACATTATACATCCTAGTATATCATTATTACAGTACCATTAAATTTCTTGCTTCATCTTCCAACCATCCATAAAAATGGATCCCAAATCTTACTAACTACATTCATGTTATAGCCTATTCAGCATTATCTATCATAGTATATGTCGGCTTTGGAAGCCATAAGTGTGAAAAATGGTCATAGGTCACTTTTTTCAGTGCCATTGTAACTTTGAATGGTCCCTCCACACAAGCAAAGCACCAGCAAAGGAGGGGAGAAGAACTCCAGAGAGGTTCCTGGGTCAGGAAGTCTAGTCCTGCCAAGAACGTAATAAGGGTTAACGGAGAGGCAGTTTCTGTAAGCAAGACCAGAATGTTTCCTTCCTGCCTTCCTTACAGGATTAGGCCAGTAATTTCTTCTAACAACCAATTCTCCGAACTGCTTAGAATGTTAACAACTGTTTCTAGCGAATAGGTGCGAACTGGTGGAATCCCACCCCTGCAGAGAACCCTTTGCTAAAAATTTTGAAGCCCACCCCTGGAACTGATCACTGTACAATTTGTGTTTTCTTATTCTTCCTCAGTACTCCTTTCTCCTGTGTTTTACCCACATACCCACATTGAAGTGGCTAAACTAAGCATCAGTGATAGTGCCGTGATGAAGTGGGAAGCTGAGCCTTCTCTTCTGACACCTCGATAAATACTCTAATTCTTGCCCTTGTTATTGTCAGTTAAAGAATTATTAACAGTTTTGCAGACTGGATCCTTTGTTGTTCTTTGTCACAGTAGCAGAAACTTTTCTGTCTCTATATTTTCCTTTCCCCCCCCCCCTGGGATGTCAATTTCAGCTTTTGAATGATTCTTTTGAGAGCCTGAAACTGAGCATATTGCAGCCTTCCATTTGGCCTGTTTCCAATATCCTGTAGCTTTCTAAAGAGGTATCTGATTTCCCCGACTTCTCTTCAAAAAAGAGAGAGAGGGGACATTTTACACCGCTTGATCAGGAAAGAATCGAATGCAAAATATTTACTTTCTTCCTCCGCAGATTATGCAGTTCATTCGTGAAATATTTTCCTTCCATCATTGACAGTGGGGCAAAGATAAGTGGACAGTTTTATTTTTTAATGATCCTGTCATGGATATCTCTACCCATCATGGCAAAATTAAAAACAAAAATATGAGCTAGGTTTGCCATACCGTGATTAAGCCAGTTACAGTACATCAAGGAGAAAATCTGCTTTGTAATATTTTAATGCTTTTTTCCTGGAGAATATCTGTCTCTCCCTCGACCACCGTGATTTAAATATAATTAATAACAATAGCATTTAGACTTATATACTGCTTCATAGCACTTTACAACCCTCTCTAAGTGGTTTACAGAGTCAGCCTCTTGCCCCCAACAATCTGGATCCTCATTTTACTGACCTCGGAAGGATGGAAGGCTGAGTCAACCTTGAGCTGGTGAGAATTGAACTGCTATCAGTATGCAGAATTAGCCTGCAATACTGCATTCTAAGCACTGTGCCACCACAGCTCTTATTAATTATTGCAAATTCAAATGAAGACCATTTCTTTATTCCCAAACTTTTTCCCCAAATGGCACTACAGGTAGTCTTTGAACTTATGACCACAACTGAACCCAAAATTTATGTCATTAAGTGAGACATTTTGTGATGACCTGGGGCGCGGCACAAATGAAACACAGTCAGTTAATCAGTAGGATTCCCTTTATTAGCACCAACTTTGCCCCCAATGTCCTGGTTACCTTCTGAGCTGGAGAAAAACTCTCCCAGGGAACAGCCTTTGACTGCAGAGAATCAAGTCCAAAACTTGGTCAACAAAAACTGGAACTATAAGTCCAATCAAGGTAAAATGAGGCAATTAGTCTGGCAAGGCAGGAACAAGAATTCCAGACATGAAGGAATAGCAGTAATTCAACACAGTTGGGAAGATGCCAGGAACACAGATAACCAAAGTCAACACAAGATAAACTCACGTTTGCTCCCAACAGCTGCCACACTCAGCATGCATCTCTTTTAAACTCCCTTCCCAGATGTGCCTAATGAAGGGAATCAGGGCCCTTTCCTCCCCCATAAGCCACACAACGTTGTTCCCTTCTCTGTTCCTCCCTGCGTGCCCTAGATGATGAAGAAGGGGTGGGCCTGGGTCTTCCTCTGAACTCCCTCTTCCTTGTTCTACCTCTCTCCTTCTCTGCCCAGACAGACTTTGCCCTTCCCCAGCCTCCTCTACAGCCAATGGAGCCACACTCCCACTTCCTATCAGCTGTTCATCTTCCTCCTCAGATTCAGACTCTGACAGGCCATGACACATTTTTTCAAAACATTCTCAAAGATCCATCTCATCCTGGGAACCCCTCTTTTTTGAACTATTACCATCTGGCAGACAGTACAGGATAATAATAAAAACAAGGACAAATAAGCTGAAAAACAGCTTCTATCCCAGGGCAGTAACTAGATTGAATTCTACTGTATAGTGCAATATTAATGCAATATTGGGTTTTCAATTCAGTTGTACGGAATGTGAAAGATATGTGTTTGTGTGTTTTTTTAATACTTATAACATACACTGGCATTTAATTTCGTTGTACAAGGTGCAATGACAATAAACTAAACTAAACTAAATTAAACTAAACTAAATGAACATTTGTAAATTGAGGACTTCCTGCAGTGAGATAAGAGTTGTGGTTGTCATCACCATCGACAACAAAAACAAGAAGCTCACAGGTCAATGCATCTTATTTTATTTGTTCGACAGTGCATTATCCCTAAGTTACATTAGTTTGGTGTCTATATTTGAATATATCCACCCACATTCTTTGATCAGAACTCTTTTTTTTTAGTTTTAAAAACAATTTTATTTACAAATTTAAAAACGTACAATTTCAAAAATACAGAAACAATAATAACACATAGTTTTTTTTACATTTGTTATGGAATTTGGTGAGTCCTAAAAATCATTATTGGCTAGTACTAGTCACATATTCATACCTTATCACATCCTAAATACTAAATAATTCTCAATATGCTCCATTTATTTTCATGTTGGATTATAACCACTCTTCTATTACTAATACATTCATGGTTTTTTTAACTAATAAACACAAAAATACTATAAATAGCTAATACTAATAATAGTAGTAACAAAGAAAAGAAGATTCCTTCCAGGTGGTGCCTCTTGAATTGTGCATGTAAGAATCTCTTTCCTTTTCTCTCCTGAAAAAGTTTGAATGTGGTTGAAGAAGGTTCTTTGCAGTTTGTTTGCAGTGGCAACTTGATATCTGTGTTGGTTGGTTTGAAGAAACGGTTGCTTGAACTACAGCCGAGGATGAATCAGCAAAGGAAGAAAAAGACCAAAAGAGTGCCAAGGAAGACAGGCTCCTAATAACCAGCCTGTTTCGGCAGACAAGAACTTGAGCTTTTTTCAGCTGCTAGATGTTTATCCTCTTCTCCTTCTCCTCCAGCTCCCTATCCTTTTGAAATGAGAGCCATATCTTGTCTTCATCTGTCCAAGATAGCAACAACTAAAATCATTCGTAGAGGAGAGCTGAAAAGCAATCTCTCTACTACTCATTCTTCCTTTCAATGCTTGCAGCTAAAACTACCTGTGAAGCTTTTACTGTAAATCATAACCACAACCTCTGCTTATTAGGAGGGAAAATACCTAAACCGTCTTTTTTAGATTTTTAACTCAATGTTGACGAGCTCCTAGGTCTGTGATGGCGAACTATGGCACACGTGCCAGAAGTGGCACTCAGATTTCTCTTGGTGGGCACATGCCCCAATGCCAGCTGCTCTTCTGGTTTCTGGGGTGCCAGAAAACAGCCTGAAAAACAGCTAAAAAACAGGTTCAGGCCACTTTTGGGCCTGAAAAGGGCCCCAAAACAGCCTGAAAAGGGCCCCAAAACAACTTGAAAAGGGCCCAAAAATGACCTGAAAAGGGCCCCAAGAATGGCCTGAAAAGGGCCCTAAGAATGGCCTGAAAAGGGCCCCAAGAACGGCCTGAAAAGGGCCCCAAGAACGGCCTGAAAAGGGCCCCAAAACAGCCTGAAAAGG